CAGAAATATGCGGGCTACAATCATGCAGTATTAAGAAAAGGTTATAGTTATTTTTAAGATTTCTAAAAAAACTGGTTTTCCAGAAAACCGATCTTTGAAGAACTAGTAGCAGCAGTCATGGTGATATTCGGAATCAGCATGGTTGATTACCTATAGTCAATTAGGTTTTGACTGGAAAACGATTTATAAGTTGATGGACCTGCCTCGTCAGACAATCGCTTAAAGCCTACTTCGTGATGTTTTTTTCCATTTAGATGCTGTTGGAATTGTTCATCAGTAATACATTTAATATTACACAATTCACATTGAATTAATAATGCTGGAGATTTTTGTCGTTCTTTCAATTTATGTTTTTTTCCGATTAAATAACTCTCGTACGATATTGGATCAAAACATTCAATATTACATAGATCGCATTTTGTATTTTTAAAATATTTCTTCCGTTTAATAGAGTGTATGTTTGATTCTAATGAAAATTTTCGTTTATTCGTATTGGCTTCGAAGAAAGAAAAGAATTTTATATTTGGTGAAGTTTGTTCAACTCAATATGATTACTGGAATTTTACTCGTCTCTCAAATCACAGTGCTGTCAGTAAAGTATATCTACCTGAATAATTTTTTATTGAATATGTTTTTAATGGATCGAAAACAACTAATGGTAACTGAAAAACAAAGAATATCTTATAGTCAGCGAAATACCAACCTAACTTGAGATTACCTGGGGAGTTAAGTTATATATTGGAAACATTAGATAACCATAAGATGCAGGTACGTTAAATGGTGTATAATCGTTGTTGGTAACGGGAAATTGCATACTATAAAAATTAAACATGTTATGGGCTTATCTATCTCACTGAATCTCCAACACTATTCAAACAGAAAATCCACGTGCAAAGAAATTCTCACTTGTGGACGCATGTGAAATTATAAAAAGTTCACACATGACTACGCATTTGGTATTTCAACTGCACGATTCCAACGTCACGAAAGTTCCACAAAGTTCCCCATGGGAAATGAATATCTTACTAGCCATATCAAATTTTGATTCTGATGCTCAACTTCATAATTTTGGGAGCTAGTGGTACAAATGAAATGAGAGAAAAAATAGCAAAACTTACTTTAATTTTTTATGTGTCCCTACTATTATCTATTCAACTACTCATTCGGGTTTGTTCTACTCTCTAACTATTATCTATCCGTTTGATTTTCGTCCTTATATAAAACGTTTAATAGTGAATAAAAATGTGAACCCAAATCAAGTAAAAGTCAGATCACTGTGTCCTATGTTTCACTAATGTCATTCTTATTCAGACCATTTTATATATAGATAAACTCAGACAATGAAAAGGGTTAAACTAACTTTGTTAATAGAAAAGTACATAAGTGAAAAAATATAGCTTGATCTTTACACCTGAGTAGTCACTATATTGTGTATTAAGAACATCGTCTGTCGGAGAGATATAATGAGTAAAAAGTGAAACGAGATACACCGTACGCATTGCGAAATTTTCGGTACTTTCTAGAACGCAGCTCTTGATAAATCTTCAAAGATTTCTCAAGTTTCGCCTCAGATCTTTCAAGAACTTGTGCACATTTATCGTAATCTTCCAAGATTCTGAACGAAAAGTACTGCTGCAGATTTTTCTACAAGTTTTGTATCAGAATCTGTCTTGATAGATCTTGTGCGGAGCTTGTCAAGGTATTTCAAGAATTCTGAAATGATTAATTTAATACGCGGTAATCAGAACCTTCATTAAGAGGCAAGGTGAAAAAAACTTTTTTATTTCACATCCGATTTCGATGATGCTTATAAGAATTAATGCTTACTGTGCACATAACTTATGTGCACGAAGAGTCGATCAAGAGAATTTTAGCAGATTTGCAGCACCTTTTTCATCTTCGATTATGCTTTGTGAGATGTCCTGAGCGTTTCCTGAAAATTTCCTTGAGTCAACATGAGATTTGATCGAGATATAGGGATTTTAATTTTTGCTAGTAACAGACGAAAAAACGTTTTTTCACAAAAATGCCTCTGGCGAAGTTATATTCATTTCTACACAACAACAAATGTTGCCACTACGCTCAGCGTAGTCGATTACTTATGTTCCATGGCATTTCGAGATTCCCAGAGATGTCTGCTCGAAGATAGACACGTGCTCGGAGAAAGCGAGCTCTATCCGAACGAAGATAGCTGGAGAGCCGGGACTTGCATAATTTTGTAGAATAACGTCCGAACTATCTACGCATGTAAAACTAACATTGTATGCTAGTTTTCTGAGAACGGAGCTGGTTTTCCAAAGATCCTCTGGAAACCCGATCTTTAAAATTTTTTCAAAAGTTGTTTCCGCTTCCGAAAAGTTCCGCGAAAAAGTCTTGGCTATCGAATAGCGAAAATCGCAGGTCTCTATCTCATTCCTATCAAAAGTTATTCAAAAAATGCCCACCGGCACTGTATTTTGGAATGGATAGTAGTCACTAATCTATTTACTCGTGTCGAAATACAGAAATGTTCGCTAGATGGAAAAGTAAAACAATCAATGAAATTATTGTCGTTTCGTCCGTATTTTTTAATTAGCTCTTGTTTCGCCCATACTTATTTCGTCCATTATGGAATGCAAATGCACGCTATTGAGCTGCTCATCAGCAATTGGACTCGGGAAGACGAGGACACCCATTCGAATTTTTGAAACAGAAGAATTTGATTGGACGACAGCGTGACGGAATAGCAGATCTCAACGATGATATTATTCGTCTAAATAAATTGAATTTTAATAGTTTATAGTTGACAAGTTCATCCGAAGGCCTGTACGACTTAGATATGACATGCGTAAAATTCGATCAAGTATCATTAATCAACTCAACATCCAGTTATATTGGTTTTACAAATGCATCGTTTGACAGGTCACGCTTAGATAATGCACGACTGGAACATTAGCGAATGTTAGTTTTAATAGAACAGAACTGAATGGCATTGACTTTACTCATTCAGATTTATATGCTGCTTGTTTTGTATTTGTTAGTTTGTCCAATGTACAACTGACAGTTGATCAAATGTTGTATGGTCGAAGATGACAGGGAAGTGGATTTGTATAAAATGCTTTGTGGTTAGCATTGTGTGCAACAACTTCTCAGACAGTTTCGAATCACTGCAGAGACGTTCAGAATGGCCATTTCTAAAGCAGAATGCTTGAGCTGGAGAGAGATTCCAGCTTTCGGGACTTTTCGCAAGCGGAAACAACTTTTGAAAAAATTTTAAAGATCGGGTTTCCAGAGGATCTTTGGAAAACCAGCTCCGTTCTCAGAAAACTAGCATACAATGTTAGTNTGCTTGAGCTGGAGAGAGCTTCCAGCTTTCGGGACTTTTCGCAAGCTTAAAATGCTCATCTACCCACTAAAATCATAGTATGACCTTTGAAAATGGCACTTTGAGCATCTCAACCTTTAGCTTGAAAAACTTTTTGTGCATATTCTATAAATACAACATGTACAAATTTTTATATGTACATTGACTCTCGTTCCGGTGGCACTAAGCGCATTCATATAACTTTTGACAGGAACAATATTTTTTCAACTGAGAAAGCGCCGTCGGAATGAGCAGAGGTTGACTCATAGAAAAAAAAACTAAAGAGTACAAGATTTTGATTGATGAACTTAACTGAAGCCGGTATGACTTAACTACAATGGCTCTTATATACAACTATGAAATGACATTTTGCGATACCAAATTCGTTGATTTTTGGAGAAATATCGAGTTTTGAGTGCTAATGCAGTGAAAGTGCGCTCTCGAAAACATAATATTTTGTAGGGCCCTTGTGTGTAGGTTATATAACGGATTGCATCTGAGCTCGAGTAAAAGTGAACTTGCATTATGATGTCTCCTATGTCGAGTTTGGACTAGTGGTGACTCTGGTGCCCTGGGTTCCTAATATTAGTGGAAATTCGGTCTTTTAACAGCAAACCTTCAGTGTAACCAGGCAGTGTATAAAACTTTTTCAATAGAATTGTATTGATTTTCTTCCATGAACTAATAGCCCACGGTGTTCCCTTCAAAATGAGAGTCAAGCGAGACCTTGATTTTCTGCGGCTTGGATGTAGCGTCGGATTTCCTACGAGCTCCAGGAGCTATTCAAAGTCAAAATTTATTCAAGAAACATCGGAGTTCGTTATTCATTGAAACAGATAGTAGTTTCTGCTTTATTTTAGTTGAAAGTTTTATGAAAAACAGTCCAAACATATCTTCGCGTGCAAAATGGAATCAAACTGGTCTAACAGTTGCTGGTACTGCAAATGGTACAAAATACTCTGATTTATGGTCATAGAATTACCCATATCAGATTTTTATTGATCTGAATGATAATGACGCATTATACGTAGCAGATTATGAGAACGAACGTGTGTTAAAATTTGAACAGGGACAAACAAATGGAGAAGAAGAGGGTGATTTATTTCGACCCTCTGCGTTGTTTGTTGATAGTAACCGGTCATTGTACGTAGCAGACGTGCATAATCTTAAAATTGCATAATCTTAAAATTCGATTCTAATTCAAGTGTGGGTGTTCAAGTAGCTGGAAATGGCGAGTCAGGTGGGACACTAAATCATCTAGGATACTATGTAGGAGATATAGCAATGATTGATAAACATAATTTATACCTGTCTTCATTCGAATCATCGAATTATCAAATGGAAACGAAATGAAAAAAGTGGTATTCTGATCGCAGGCGTTAGTGGAGAGAACGGAACTGATCCAACTCATCTCCGTTTCTCGGTTGGAATATATCTTGATCTCATGCACAGTTCCCCCTATGTAGCAGACCGTGTGAATCATCGCGTGTAACGATTTCATCCATTGGGTAATAAGAGTGGTGAAACAGTTACTGGTAATGGTACAAAAGGGGCGGTCGATCTCAGTTGAATGGACCGATGGCTGTTGTTGTTGACCATAATGAGAATATTTATATTACGGATCGTGGTAGCCATCGTATAGTTAAATGGATGGTAGCAGAAAATGATGGCGACTGTATTATCGGATGTACAGGAGATAGTGGCACTGCTGCTGATCAGCTAAATGAACCAACAGATCTAAAATTTGATAGTTTTGGTAATTTAATTGTTAGTGACACTTTCAATCATCGAATACAAAAATTTAACAACGAGCAAGGATAACATCGAGTGAAGGATAACATCGAGTCATTGCACAACTTCAATCATTGTGCAGAATATAGGAAAGAACAGCGAAATTGATTTTTGCAGTTCGTCTGCAAAGATCAAGTTCGTGTGTTCGATCCTAGCTTCGTGCAAGGATTGATTTTGTGTTTTGATAGTTTAAGTTTCAGAATGATATAATGGGAATTTATATTCTCGATTTCGTTCTGGTTCAAGATTAAAGCTTAAACCAACAACGAGCAAAGGATGAAAATGCCTTTAGTATAGTTCGACTAACAAATATTATATGAACTCGACAACGCAGACGAATATCCTGTCTTCATAAATCCAGTTTCATAAATCACACATTTATGAAATTTGTTTTCAAGTTTCATAAAATTTAGGAAAATTGGATGTTGTATTTATTAAGAAAAAAGGTACAATACTTATACCAGATATTTTCTTGCTCCAAATATCAGATAATGTTTAACATGAATTATGGGTATGACATATGAATCATTCAATGATCATTTAGCTAGATGACTAGTAAGAATATACGTTACTGAGCCATACCTTGACATGTGTGTCATTGTAAAGAACACAAAACTCAAAAAAATTCTATTATTTCTTTATTTTTCTTTCTTCTTGTGAGACGCAGGCAAATTGAATATTGTACCTTGAAAGATAGAACTATACAACTATGATCATTATCTAAAATATCAGAAAAATATATTGTATCATATGCAAGCTCACATACATACGAGATGTAATGATGTTGATCACTATCATCTAGCATCATCAATAGAAATGTAAGATTCAATCGGAAAAAAAAATATATATATATCAATATTTATATATATATCAGCTGAAAGCAGAAGAGATAAAACAAAATATATTCTATTAAAATGTTATTATCGCGTTAAACGTTTACATCCATATTTAAAAATGTGAACTTTTTCTTCATCTCGACACAGATACACCTTTATTTATTCGAATAAGGGACCAAGAAACTTATATCTGATATTGGGAAAGATGTGTACAGACGTGATATCCGTTTAGGCTCATTTGTTTTATAAGACGATATGATAAAACAAATATCACACATATTTTTCAATTAGTATTTTTTTGGCCATTGCAATCGTTATCCATACCATTCTAGAAGAATTTCGTGTTTTAAGAATGTATTTTTAAATATATATTTCATTGCGCGTTGATTATTAGCATTCAAGCTCAAGAATTGAAGAAAAAAGATAACTATAGAAAAAATTTGAACGCATAGTTGCAAAAGAACTTACTACTTAATTAGCAAACAAACATCAAAATGCTTTGGTTACACATTTTCTTATGGACATTTTTAATACTCAGCAGTAAGTGATACGAGTTTTTCAGCACTAGTTTGTTTAGTGCAAACATTAGTAAAAAGCAGTGTTTATTATCTGCATTTATTCTGGTCTCATATAAATCATATTCTAAATAGAAATTTCTTTAATAACAAAACTCCACAATAAAATTCTGATTAGCTGTAATATACTTAATGGTCTCAACTATAAGTAACAGGTCTTTGAATACATACCCAGTAAAAAAAATAGACTTAACCCACTGAATTCTGTATAGAAAATATCAGATCTATGAAAACCGTTTTATTAACGATCGGGTAACAGATCGTTTCACACTGCCAACACTGTTTTAAGTCATTTGACTGGGCGCTCATACTTTGAATGTTTTTGGATCTTAAACATAGTAAAAACAGTCTGTACACTGTAAAAAATAACTAAGCTAAAAGGAGGATAAAAAGCACACTAATGCGCGATCTACAATATTCCAAACATTTATTCTGAAATATTTCTATAATCTCTTCTTTCTATATATTGTGAGCAACATTTCGGCAAAACTTCCACTGTGACTCTCATTTCTAACTTGTGCGCTTAAGAAAGATAATAGATTTGACTTTTTCAAATAAAATCCGTAATTTTAAATGTATATCAGCGTTCAACCTCGTCTTGATCTAATTTATTCTGTTACGTAAGTTCAAACTCATCTAAACTTGGATCTTAGTTTAAGCTGGTCGAATGTTAGAATAAACAGTTTGGTTCAGTGTAAATGTATATTAGTCTAATTTTTTAGTTCAATTTTAAAATTGAGTTAGATCATTCTTGACAAAAGAAAAGAATCGAAACTTTGATTTAATGTAATAAGGTAATCGTAAAAGGATTCATAAGGATTACTAAACTTGAGATTAATGCTTCTAAACCAGACAGGGATTAGTCAGTTCTTTAGAGCAACTACCCAGGACGTCGAAAACGGTGTAATTAATTGCCAATTAAATGCCATTTAATACGCTGTTAATAAGCATTTAAATGCCATTTTTATGACATTTGACCCCGTTTTTAGGCCGTTTTTTGCCATTATAACTGGAAACGTTTAAATGCATTTATTTCGCATTTTTTTAAATGTCAAAAAACGGTCAAATAACAGGTATTTAACTGCTGCCAGTAACCCTACTGGTCACATTTTTGCCATTTAAATATCAATTGTTAGGCTGTTAGAAAATGTGAAAAAAATATCTTCTGAACATGAGATACTATCACCTGCATCGAGTCAAGAACCACAGACCACTTCTTCGAGGCAAGTTTCTATGACTCGTATAATTGAAGAAGAGAAACACTCTAAACTATTTTAGGAAAATCAGAGTCATTTATACCATTCATGACGGCAGAATAAAACGGTGAATGACTTGGTGACTATAAACTGGCTGTTAAATGCCATTTTATGACCAGTTTTTCGCCATTTTGAAATGGAGAAAAAATGGACATTTAACGGGCACATTTATTTGGCATTAGTTAACGCGGTCTAATAAATGGACGAAAATGCCATTTAATGGTGTCCGTAAAATGACAATTTTTCGAACATTGCCTATAATCTGGCATTATTTTCACCGTTACTTCAAAGTCAAAAAATTGTCATTATAATGGCTGTTAAATGACAATTTTCAGTCGATTTTTACACAATTAACAGGCCATTTTTTGGCATACAGTTAACAGGCTGTTAATGGACAATTAAATGCCAGTTTTCGTCGACTTCAGTACTTTTGAACAACGTTATAGTTAGAAATTCGCCGGACACTCGCATCAATATTGGCTACATTTAGACAAAAATCATATCTTTTCAACGACCACTAAAAAGAACATCCATTTTTCCGAGAATGGACTGAAAAATCGTGCCCCTAAGAAGAATTGGCCCCTAGAAAAATTGTCATTCTTTGTATAAAACGATGAACTCAAAACAAAAAGATGATTATCTTCTGCATCATCTATATGAGTAGAGGGACTTAACTCCTGGGGAGACACGGGAGAAGCTTCGCTCTACCTGCTTTTGAAAACTACCGTTCTCTTCCAGCAAATCAGTTTGGCTTCTCTATAGGAACAATATAGTAGAAAAACAAAAGAAGTAAAGGAGTTTCTGATGCATTTTTTTGGATGTAATAAGCGTTAAATAGATAGCTTAAGATAGACTGACAATTTTCTCTATACTAGATGAGACGAAAAGCTCATACGGTCCATCACTGTAACAGTCCACCGAAATTTTTCTCAGACCTTTGATGACGAGAAATTGTCAAATATGCTTCAGAAACTTCTACTTGTTCACCAGGGTTCTTTCCATTATTAATTTTTTAGCTATTCGATTTGTGCAAATGCAAGACGATGATGATACAACTACTGTACTACCAACCACGACAACAGACGATGTAAGCACTACGTTACTTACCCGACTAACAAGCCCATCTGATGTTGGTAATGGTACTGCTCGTAACGGCACCGCTTATTTTATCGATTTGAATTCATCTAATAAACAACGTGTCATCATTACACTGGCTGTATTATGTGTAGCATTAGCTGTTCTGCTTGGATTTCTTGTATCCATTGTTGTTTGTCAATGGCTTCAACGCGGCCAGATTGTTCAAACGAATGGTGATTTAGGTCCACGATATACTTATCCAACAAATGATCAAAACTATAGACAGACTGCGAAACTGTAGAACATTAGAAAAATGCATACTAATGACACTTGAACTCTTCTGTCTTTTTTTCTGCAATTCTTTATTATATACGCGTCTTCAAATTACAACATACAAGTCTGCAAGTTTACACAACTAATAGTTAATCGTTTAAACCAGTGTTTAATTCATTATAGACTCTTACGTTTATTACTTTATTCACTATATCCGACTTATTATTATAAAATCACTTGACTTTTTATTCTTTCTTCTTGCTATAACTAGGTATGCACCAGTTTTTAACTGGTGTTGGGGCATCCGGAAGAATTGTTATACATGAGTTATCACGATTCGCTTAGAGCCCAAAAAATACATTAAATCACGGAAAAAAAACTGTTCAAACAATTTTTTTTCCGTGATTTTAGAATGTTCTAAGTTTTCTTAGAAATGATTCCGGAAATTTTTTAACAAATGCATTTTGTAGAACAAACATTTTTCTACAAAATGAGATGTTTCACAGCTCTGAGAGAATCGGGATAACCGATGTATAGCAATTCTCCCGGATG